GGGGCACAGTGCAGGGACAGATCCCCCAAGGGCCCTGGCTGTCCCTCAGGCTGTGCTCCTCTTGCAGACGGTGACAAGGAGAAGCTGTGTCAGAGCGAGTGCAGGAAGGAGCGGGATGAAGGGGAGGCTTTCTGTGCCAGCGAGTTCGGTAGGTGCTGTCCCCCTCAACCCACAGGGACAGAGCACCTTCTGTCCACTTGCCACTGATATTGCACTGCTACTTTTAAAATACTGTGATTAAGATATGGTAAGTATGTTCAGTAATTACCAAGTATTCAAAAAGATTTCACAGCTCTTCACAGACATTCTTACCTTACCCTTTCCCTACCTTGGGCTAGTACTGCCCTTTTTTCTGTTTCCTCTGGAGGAACAGTGTCCTTGGGACTGGTCAATGGAACTGAAAAGACCGATTGTTTTAGTTACTCTCAGATTAAATATTGCAGCTGGGTTATTGATCTCTTACCATTTAGAGCAAGTTTGATTTTGGAGATTGAAGTTTGAAATTAAAATAAAATAGTGAACCAAACAGAAAGAAGGTGTGATCCTCTCTCTAGAGAGGATTCTTCTTGAAGTTCCTTAGGATTCAGTGTCTTTAGTCCTTGTGCACACATTGATGTAACTAAAGGTGGCAGGAAACAGCCTGGTATTTTTGTAGACTTTGTTTAAGGACAAACATTTTTTGACTGAAACCCTGCCTTGTGCTTACAGAGTTGTGAAACAGATACCAACTTTTTCTCACAGTATTTTAAGAGATAAGGAAAATACAAGCCCAGTGGTAACAGATGTTTCCATTTGTAGAACATAAACACGTTGGGAGACATCTGTTTTCTCTAAATGGAGAAGTCAGGAAGTGCTTTCTACAAATGCTGTCCTGCTTTGGTTTTTACCACTCTCACACATTCCTGTCCAACATGGGCTTCACAGCCACCCGACCTCTGTGTGTGTTAGCCCGTAACAAACAGCTCTGCTCCTAAATTGAAAGGACAGGTGGGAAAAAGTCTGAGCAGCAGACAAGCCAAGGTTCCACAGCAGCCATCAGAGAGAGTTTTTCCTTTATTTATATTTATTGTGGAGAAAAAAGAATAAATGACTGAATCGGAGCTGTCCCCCTGAGGCAGGTGTAACACCAGGTGCAGTAGCCCCACTCACACAGAGCTGCTTTCCCAGCCCTGCACTCAGCACTTACCAGAGCCAGAAACTGGGAGAACAGCATGAAATGATTGTCTGAGCTCCCAACACAACCTGCTTGTGCCCCTGTCTCTTGGTATGACAAAGGCCTTTTATTTCAAAAGCCAAAGTGTTTAATTACCAGCTTGGCTTTGTACTTCATTGGGAAATTTTAAATTTGAAAATTTTACTTTGTTAGGTAAATTTACCCACTTTTTATATATCAGGATAGAAAATGGTACCAAATCCATTGCTTTCTTTCGTAAGAAACATCTCAAACCTGTAAAGGAGCAAAACTTCAGGCAATGACCTCACCAAATGTGATTATTTGAAGCAATTCCTGCTGCCCACTCCCGAGCCAAGGGATTCCTGCTGACACTTCCTTTACAGCATTTCAAATTACAGCCTTCACACATGCCCTGAAAACTGCCATGATATAAAATCTGATCCTCTTTTCCCCTCTCCCTTAAAGCAGCAGTGAATGGAATTGTTTATAACCTGGAGAGCCTGGGCCATGGGGTGCAGTGGGTCACCCTGCTGGTGGACACTGATGGACTGTACAGGATGAGCCGCCTCTATGTCACCCCTGACGCCGCCTTCTTCCGAGTTCACATCCTGCTTGTGGATACTCTGAACTGCAGCAAACCATGCCCAGACTTTAAACTTGGTAAATCATTCCAGCTAAATCCATTCTGCTATTCCTCTGCATGCACTGCAATCTCAGTCTGCCCTACTTTAATAGGCTTAGCCTGGGTTGTTGGGAAAATTTGGAAGAAAAGTATTTACTCAAAGTACTCAAAGTTTATCAGTGCAGACTGCTTTCTTGTAACTGGATTGGAGGTCAGGTGTTGCTGCACCCCCTAAGCACCCCCAGGCTTTTCCATTCCCACTGCCCCATGCAAGGGACACCTGTGCAGCTTCTTTGTACCTGTCCTAGACAGCCCTGGCTGATGATGGCAACAATACAGGGGGGAAAGGGAACTACGGGGAGAACAGAGGACATCTAAACTACACTAACGTAACCATACATCACTAAACCTTTTCTTAATATTCACACAATAGTTATCCCTTAACTGTGAGAGCCAACCACCTCATTATCCATCTTTTGAGTGCAAGTTTATCAAATGCCAGCATTTGTCCCAAGAGTAAATCATCATTTCCATGCCAGCCCCACCCCCAGGTCCCAGCGGAGCTCAGGGTGCCGCAGTGGAAGCTCCGTGCCCAGGATGTTTCCATAGACACAACTTCGTGTCTGTTCGCGCCCCTGGTGCCTCGGAGTGACCCCCGCTGGCTCCCTGAGGCTCAGCTCCCGTTTGCTCCGTCCCTGTGTTGCAGGCAGCCGCTACATCGTCATGGGGCACATCCACCACAAGCGCCGCCAGGTGCCCCCCGAGCTGCTGCCGGCCCTGAGGGGGAGGCTGCGGCCCGGGGACGGCTGGCTCGGCAGCGGCAGCGGCTTCGTGAGGAGATTCAACAGGAAAAGGGATCTCAGGGTGAGGGCAGCGCGCTCCAGGTGTCCCTGAGGCTCCGTCCGGGACGGGGGAGCAGCGGGATCCGCCCTCGGAGCGCCCCCGGCCGCGGGCAGCGCTCCCGCCTGGAGCCTCGGCAAACACCGGGGGCCTCGGGCAGGCACCCCCGGCCAGGCTCGGCGCAGAATTCGCTCCAGGGAATGTGAACCGGCCGGGAATTTGCTCCAGCTGCTTGCAGAGCCACAGGTTATTGTTGCTTCCCCTGCTGCAGAGTGCCCCGAATAATCTGTAGTAACTGTAATGCAAAATTCTGGCAGTTTCGTGCTCGGTACACAACAACTGCACTTTGAACCCTTCACCTTGAACACATTAGATGATACCACAGCTTTATCTACACAGGATGTTCACTGTGCTTTCACAGTTCTGCCTAATGCACTTGATTTCAGAGAAACCAACACCACTGAGTACCATTTGTATTATTTTTGTCTCCTCAACCATGTCCATGGTATTTCTGAAAATTACACCACTCTTCCAGCAGAGCTGGATGTTCACACAAAGCATAGAGTGTAATAATTTGAGTATATGAACACTGACTGAAAGCAAATCAAGAACTGCAAATGCCCAGTTGCATTTACAAGTGATGGTGCAGGGAATGCAAAATGAGCATTCATTTTGTGCACACACTGGGTGTGCCAGGGCACTTTGTCCCAGAGCTGTGCTGAATGCCATTCCCCAGGAGAAATATTGCCAAGCTTGTACTTGCACAAGAGTAAAGTTACTTTTAAAATCAAACAGACAATATTTTATTACCTTTAGTGTGCTGAAATTGAGATGTTTGTTGTTCCCAGTCAGTATTCACAAATAATAAGTCTGTAAAAGAAACTAATAAAATGCTCATGAGGTTCTGCTTTCACTGTCTCCTGGGTTCTGGAAGACCCAAAAATCTTATGTAATGATATTGCACAGAGGCATCTCCTTGTGTGACAAGTTGGCTGAGGTCTTGATACATATTTCTATTAAGAAATGTAAAAAATTGAGTACAGCTTAAACCCCCACATACTCAGCAATATGATGTGAGCTGCCACAGGAAGCAGTGGCTTCTCCAGAAGCATTTTCTGTTTTGAAACAAGGTAGTTCTGACACCCTGCACTTGTCACACACCTCTGCAGCTGCATTTGGTGTCACTGGAAAGGCACAGAGCAGGGGATGGCATGGGCTATGCTGCATCAAGTATTTCTTGATATGGAGCCAAATACCAAGAGCAAACATCCCCTATTTGGGACCCAAAAGGCTCTTACTGGATAGAAATTTACTCACAGCATGAGTCTACCTAAAAAATACCTTGTCTCACTTTTGGTATGTGAAAGACTTTGCATGGAGCACAGCATGGATGGATGGAATTTTCCTGAGAAAATCTGAAGGGGTTTTGTTTTGGCAGAAGAACTGTTCTGGCAGTGAATCAAAGCTCTGGAGTGACTGGGAGGACAGAAGGAGGAAGGGTTACATGTGCATCTCGAGTTTCTTTGTTTCTATTTTCAGGGAAGTCCAGGGCTAAGCAGCAGCTCCTCCAGGCATCCCCCAGAGCTGAGCCCCTTTCCCGTTATCCTGCTGCAGCCCAGGGAGGTGTGGGCACAAACCCAGCCTGTGCCTGCCTGGGGAGGGACAAACACAGAGTAAGGACATCCCAAAGCAGAGTTCAGTGCCCACAGCTGACACAAAACACTGGGATACAGATGTTGCTCTGTGAGCCTGAAAAGTGATTTACCACATGATCTCCTCCTGTGTTACTACCAAGTCCTCTTACCTTTCCCTTCTCGACTGGAAAATTCCTCCTTAAAATGTTCCCAAGCAGCTGAGGAACAAATCCCTGTGTGTCACAGCCCCACTGAGACAGGGCTGGAGCACAGCAGGACTGTTGTCACCAGGCTCCTCGCATCCTCAACACAACAACAATTCCAGATTGAGAGGATTTCCAGTCTTGCACTTGCTATTCCAAACCCCTCCCAGCAATAACCACACTGGGAATGGGATGGCACTCACACTCAACAGCTGCCATGGTAATTCTGGTACCTCACAGTCAGTAATTTCCTTCCCAGCAGGATAAGTATGGAAAATTCTGTTGCCACCACACAGAAATCTGGGTGTAAGGGAATAACTGTTCTCACCCTGTCTGTCCAGGATAAAGTCCTCAAGGGTTTTGGGTAAGCCCAACTTCTTACTGTACTTTAAATTTCCCATTATTTTCTGCGTGAACCAAGCTGAGACTGAGGATTACTGCTTCAAATTTGAAGAGACAGAAAAGGAAAATCAAGTTGGCACAGCTCACATTATCAATATCTCACAACATATGACCATTTCAAAACAACTGTTGCAATAATTTATAAAATACAAAGAAGACAAGGAGTGAGCGGAGATCACAAATCTTATGAACTTTATGCTTGATGGCAGGTGGGGATTAATTACAAGTGATTTATTTTCTGTAACAGCATTTAACTATAAAACATCACCACTAGCAAATCCAGAGAAGTACCTTGACCTGCCCAATGGACACTGAACACACTGAAACAGGCTCTCATGGAATCACAGAATGGCTTGGTTTGGGTGATTAATTAGCAGCATTAATTTGTATGGATGGATTATTTCCCTAATCAACCTGATCCACAGTTACATATGATCTGGCAAAGCCAAGACCTATATCCAAGAACATGATCAATGTTTCATTAGAAACACCACCAAATCCATGTCAAACACATTACTTTATTTGTCTAGGATGATGTGTCCTATAAGGTACAAAAAAGTACTCTTCATTTTGCCACAATTTGTTAAAAACAGCAATCCATTGCCTACAGGTAGGAAAGGTTTCAACCATGTCAATATGGAGTTAGGTATGAATAAATAGTACAGAAATGCTGAGAAGTTGGGATGAGATGCAGGATATGCCCCAGTGCTGGTAAAGGTGAGATTTTTCCTTGTCCCATTAAAACACAATGCTTACAATATGCAGCATTTTTTTAAAACTTCAAAGGACAACATAACCTAAATGCAACTACTCTTCTTTGACTTTCAGAAGCATAAATGGATTATTGTTTTCACACTGAACAATTAGTAATTTTCACAGATTGGTTAAATGACAACATTTGTATGTACAAAAACACACGGGTTTTTAGTAGAGAAAATCCCCCCAGAAGAACCTGAACACCTGAGCTGGAAGTGTAAGAAAGGGTGGTCAGTAGCAACATCTTTTTTAAGAAAAATAACAGAAGAGGTTCTTGCATAGCAAGGTGTGAGGTTAAACCCAAAAGGAGCTTATCCATAAATCAGGTAAATCCCAAACCACTGGAGAACAGAAGTTGACTGTGAGTTAGTGCAAAAGCTGCTCAGGTGGGTGAGGAGCTGCAGAGAAACCAGGCTGGGAGCTACAGACAGGGACCAGAGCAAGTCAGTCACACACAGGGAAGGAAGAGCCTCCTCATCTGCAGCTGGCATCTTCTTGGGCTGCACTTCACCCTCAGGGCAGCCCAGGAGCCCCAGGGACACAATGACAGGGGGTGCTCCACATTCCCAGAGCACCTGGCAAAGGTCACTGAGCTCCAGTGGGCAGGAAAACCTCACCAACAGCTCCTGCCCTGGCCCAGCTGGACTGTCAGGGCAGGAAAACCTCACCAACAGCTCCTGCCCTGGCCCAGCTGGACAGTCAGGGCAGGAAAACCTCACCAACAGCTCCTGCCCTGGCCCAGCTGGACAGTGCTTCAGGCATCCTTTGGGAATGTCTGACAGGATAACAGGGCTGGAACCATAAACACCTCCTGCCCTGTCTCACCTGGACAGTCCTTCAGACACCTTGTAGGAATGTCTGATGGGGATAACAGAGCTGGAACCACAAACAGCTCCTGCCCTGTCCCTCCTGGACAGTCAGGGCTGGAACTACAAACATCTCCTGCCCTGGCCCAGCTGGACATTCCTTCAGGCATCCTTTGGCAATGTCTGACAGGATAACAGGGCTGGAACCACAAACACCTCCTGCCCTGTCTCACCTGGACAGTCAGGGCTGGAATCACAAACTGTTCCTGCCCTGTCCCTCCTGGACAGTCAGGGCTGGAACACAAACATCTCCTGCCCTGTCTCACCTGGACAGTCAGGGCAGGAACCACAAACTGTTCCTGCCCTGGCCCAGCTGGACATTCCTTCAGACACCTTGTGGGAATGTCTGATGGGGATAACAGAGCTGGAACCATAAACATCTGCCACCCTGGCCCAGCTGGACATTCCTTCAGGCATCCTTTGGGAATGTCTGACAGGATAACAGGGCTGGAACCACAAACACCTCCTGCCCTGTCTCACCTGGACAGTCAGGGCTGGAATCACAATCTGTTCCTGCCCTGGCCCAGCTGGACAGTCCTTCAGGCACCTTGTGGGAATGTCTGACAGGATAACAGGGCTGGAACCACAAACATCTCCTGCCCTGTCCCTCCTGGACAATCCTTCAGGCCCCTGTGGAATGTCTGATGGGGTTGGATCCCACTCCTTGGCCATCCCACCCCTGCTCCTGGCAATCCCTGCACAGATCCCCACAGTGTCTCACACACGTGGCAGCGCACACTCAAACACACCTACTGCTGTGGGGAGAACAATGATCTCCATTTATTTTGTTTCATATACATCCATATTTTGAATTTTAATACAAAAGAAAAAAAAAATTAGAATCTGACAAATGTTTACAAACAAGATACCTTCAAATAGATTTTACTCAGTTCAGTCTGGTGCAGAGTAAATGACAAATTGTACTGTTTGTTATATTCAAGGCAACAGAGTCTGTAGTCCATGACCACTCAGCCCAAATTTTATGCAAGCTTGTTTTTATCTACCATGAATGATAAACTCCTTGTTGATTCCCAGTCCTGTGTGTGTGCACATGTGTACATAGCAGCTCCTTTCATAGAAAGAAAAGACATCTAGAGGTCTTCTTGTACTTTTACCTACAGGAATCATGTTAAGATACAGAATGGATTACATGGAACCAGGGCTGGATTTTATAAGAAAAAATAATTAGCTGACAAATGAGGGCAGCAATAAAAAAGCGTCTTTTTTGCAACAATAAATAAATACAGTCAAAGTTTTCTGTGTGGACTTTAAACCAGCTTCTTCACTGAAGAACAGACGTGGCATTTCCATGGAGTTAAACGTGACCCCATTTACTGTATCTTTTTTCTTGCTCTCTTTCTCTCTCTCCTTCAACAAAACAAAGTTTTCCTGCTTCTGCCACAATAGTACAACAATTTGATCTTGACAAGAAAGTGGTGCTGCTGATTTTTATTTCTTTGTCCTTTGGACAAAATAAGCCAAGAATATAATTTGACTGTTGTGACCAATAAAAACGCAGTTTACATCGAGTCTTGTCAGGATAACCTGACTAAAAACATCTGGCTCCTTAATTAAAAATTGTCAGACAACCAGGTCCTTGCTCGTGTGTTTGGTTAACACGCTGAACTCTAAGAAGCTGTAGACTGCAGTTTGTTGTTATGGGACCTGCAGAATACAGAAGAAAGTGAAGAATTAAGCACCCTTCAGTTTGGAGAACACAGTTGCTGCAAGGTGTAGCCAAAAATAAATCACAATAAGGGAATTACCACCATGTTGCTTTCATTTATTTTTTTTTCCCCTTCAGAAAAAATAATAAATCTTGCTCTGAATTTTAAGCCCATTTTCTCCTCCAGAATAAAAATATTTCAGTACTTGGAAAATGCAGTGTGTCACTGGGATATTCCAAAATGCCTGAAATCAGTTTTACTCACATATTTACATAATAGTAGTCCCTCAAAAGGAAAGAAAAAAGACATTTTTAGTTTTTAATATTTATAATAAGGTCTACTTTACTTAAATTTATTCAATAAGTCTTTGGATTAACTTAATAGGAAAAAAACTGAACAGGCATGTTAAAATCACATTTTTCTAAGCAGAGTTCAGCAAAACTCCTCTTTGAATTCACAGTTTTATTAATGACTTAAACTAAAACAATAAAATACAAGGTTTCCACGATGAATTTTTCATTTTTCTCAATACAGTATTTGAGGAAAGGAACAAGTTTTTTGTTAATACAATTATGTTCAGCAGTGTGACTGCTGGCAACAGAAACAACATTTACTTTTTAGACAAATGATCTGGATTTTTAGGGCAGTTGAATGTCATTGGATTGTACAATAAAAGAAAGTGACCCCAACATCCAGTTCTGATTCCAGTTAAAAAGTTCAGACTAAAGATATCACAATCTGCAAGAAAAGAAAGAAGATGGATGGTATAAATGAAAAACAAGAACAAAAAGATGCAGCAGTGAAATCAGGGGCGAGCTCAGGGACCCAGCTCATGGCAGTGACACAAAAATGGGTTGAAAACTACCTGACAAAAATCATTATGACAGTATTGAAATGGAAAGAAAAATGGATATTCTTTTTCAGGAATGTATGGGAATATAGAGTGTTTCCCTATGTAAGGGAAACACTCTATATCAGCCCTTCTTCAGCAAAAAAAAATTAAAAGCTTAATTTTGAAAGGTAAATTTTGCATTATGTTCCATTTTCCATACCCTACTTTAAAGCTTACTAGGTGGTAAATTAGAAAGAGGAGAGAAGGAGTAACACTGAAGTATTTTAATTTTTTCACTGGATTATGAACTTCACAGCAGGATTGTCTCTGACTAGCATGAGAAGTATTTACTGCAGAGTAGAACATCAGCACAACTCAGGCACAGCATTTGTCCTGATCAGAAATTATTAATTTTTCTGCAGCAATGAGTTGAAGCATCACTCAAATTTCGCAAATTCATGATACCAGCCAATATTTTAACAGTTCCTTTTGAATAAACATTCCAAAGTAACCTTCATGAAATTATATTTAAGCCTTAATTTTGAACAAATTTTCCAGGAAAGCACATGGAGCAGCAAATCCCTGTGCAAATACAAGATAAACTTAGAAAGGAGATTTCAGCACAACACCTGTGGGTAGGAACACTCCAGCTTACCTGCTTGCCTTAAATCCTTTTAGTTTCTGTACAAAGAAAGACTCGAGAACTTCTGCACACTGGTAGAAAGGGGAGTCACTGGGATTGTAGTAACGGCAGTTATCAAAAATTTTGGTCATGTCTGCCACAAACTCCGTCACCTTTTTGTAGTAACGTTTCAGGATTCTTTCTTCCATGGTAGCAAGGTCTTGAAAGAAACCAAAGATTATTTCAATGAGAGACTTTCATCCTAAACAGAAATCTATATTGTCAAGACTGTGGGAAACAAGGCATTATCCAGATTGGAGGATTTTCCAGGAGTTCTGGTTGTGACTGGTGACAGCAGCAGCTCTCCCTCAGCCCAGACCCTTGGGCGTGGATATGTTGTGTGCAGTTAAATTCAATAAAATGCAAGAATAACCAGGGAAAACCTTTGCAAGGAGCTCCCACTTTTTGTGAAGAAATGAAGGGAAAAGGTCAGACAATGAGGATCCAGGTACCCTGGACATGGAACAGCCACCACCTACTGATTATTCTTTGCATTTCTGCCTTGCTTTGAATGAGCTATCAATTCTCATGGGCATGTGCACGTTACACATGGCACAAATGAAAGATTTCAAGTGCAGGGTCATGCAAAATGCCAGAGCTCTCATCCTTACTGACCAGACACATTAAGGAAACAGAAATGGTGATGTGAGTAGTAATTGTCACATTCTAATGCAAATATCAATTAAAAACAAAACCTGTCAAATATAAATACAGCTGAGTAAGTGTCTAGTGGTACTTTAGCCAGAAAAACAACTATCTACCCTTGGAAAATGCCTTGAGGTGCTTGTTTTGAAATGCCAGTGATGCCAGAACCTGTGCAAACAGCTGCAGATAGATCTGCATTATCTGGTGTATTTTACTCAGATTTACTTGTATTACAAATGTCTTCTCCCCCTATTTAAGTCAGAAAGGGCTAAATGCACTTTTGTTTGCTCCATACTGTTATTTGAGCTTTCCTTATAAACTTTAACCCATCTATCATGGAATAAGAGTTGTTCAGCATTGTCATAACAGCACAGCCCAAAACTTTGGAACAGGAAAAGGACACAATTCCTAAACAAAATATTATTTTCAGTCAAAATATCAAAACATGTTTGCCAAGATATAAACTGAACTTTCCTATTTCTAGGATGAGTAAGGAGTAGGTGAGAAAGCCCAAATGACACACTGGCTCTCATTTAGAGACCTGGAAAGGCATTGCTTCAATACTGTAAGGAAAGAAATAACATTCCCAACACCACTTCTGTCAGGAGGTGGATTTTCCTAGGAGGTTTCACATGCAAGTGCTTATCCAGTTTTAACTGGTGAGCTCTAAGAAGATCAAATTAAAGCACTGGAATGCTGCAGCATCTCCCCTTCCACTCTGCCCACATTCACAACATCTGAATCCTTTTTTTCCCTGCAGCTTTAAGGACAATTTACACATAATACAAAATTTACTATACTATGAAGTCAGATGAAGATAATTTTGAACTTCATCTTAGGGTGCTTGTCACACTTCCATAGCATCACCTCCTCCTCAGCCTCTGGAGTGCACATCTCAACCTTTGGAGGAGGAGTTCAGTACAAAGACAGAAAAAAATAGTCCTCTTTGAATACAGAAATTTAAAATCATGAATTCTCTCCTATTGCTGCACTGACTTCCACATTCATCCTTAGGACTGGCAGCATTTAGGGTGGAGGAGTCACCCTGAGAGCAGATAAAACAGCCCTCAAGAACTCCTGAAGGTACCAGTGAGAATCACAGGGTTTCACCTGCCTAACCTGGGTATTTTGCAAAATATAGCTGGAGGTGGTCAGCAGGAAATGAATTATAATTAAATTAATGACTTCTTATTCCAAAGGCCACACCCCCTCACTGAGGCTGCTCTCACCAACACTTACCCATTGGTTCTTTGATGACACCATAATAATCTGGGGCATCGTTGGGATCTACTGGCTCTAGGAACGGCCATGCCATCTTGTGAGCCTGGCAGGGAAACAGGAGACAATGAAAACATGCAATTAGGTTAAATCAGGCACTACTAATAGGTAAATATTTTCATCCTTTTATCTGTTGGGGTCTGGAGTTGAATTTCAGGAAGAAGTGCAGCATTCTATGAAAAGGAACCAGTTCTCATCTGATGATTAGGTAAAGTTTTAAATGTCAGTGACCCAGCAGTTGGGCTTCAAAACAGGAAACTGAAATTCAGACATAACAGGATGCTGTGCTGAACAGGCTGCATGGAAAAGTATGGCATGAATTTACTGAGAGTGCTTCCAAGTACCCTGAAATTAATACACTTTTATAAATGTATGTAAAATACAGGATAATGCAAAATATTACTTACAGGATTTCTGTTATCATAATTTTAAGAATTTTACCAGAATTCTTAAAAATTCCTTATAGTTGTAGCAGAAAAGCCTATTTGGGAGTGACAGACAAACCAGAAATATCAGACAGTGTACATCATTCTTATTGTGAGGATGCCATCAGTTACATGCTGATAATGATCCCTGTGAGAACACTTCTGAAATCTCAATTAAAGTAAGGAAGTGTGGATCACAATCCACAGAAAACTGATCTGAGAACAGAACATTGCACCTTCCATACCCTGTGCAGGTGGGCTCCCACTCTGCCTTTTGGGATTCTAAATCTGCTTCCTTTAAAAGCCTTTCACTGCAGGAATTGTTTTGTTTCACCCACTCAGGAGCAGTGATTTACTAATTATTGTAACTATTCCCCAGCACAGTAACACCAAGCAGGTTTGCAGCTGGCACAGCTTTGCTGTTCCCCAAATTTCAGAGCTAATAAGGAGAAATTCCCCTGTTCCTCCCAGCCCCACTGGGTCTGTCCCACTCCCTGGTGCTGCCATCCTCATCCTCACCTGCAAGGAGCGCAGGACCCTCCTCAAGCCTTCATAGTCCTTGTCAGTGAGGGGGCTGAGCACAGTCATGGCATCCTCAGTGGACTGGCACTGGGGGCACACGTACTCATCGATGAGGTCGGCCTCGCTCTGCAGGATGCCCACGCAGCGCCCGTGGTACCAGTTCTGACACCGGTCACAGCCAATGTAAAACCTGCAAGGGCCAAACCAAGAGTCAGAGCCTTCATCTGCCTCAAATCCAGCTCACATTTAACAAATAAACCTGCCATCCCCTGCACACAAGCAGATACTTGGCATGATTCAAAACAACAGGTAATGTCAGATTTCAGAGTGACAAATTCTACTCCAACTGCTTTTGTATTTACAGACCATTTCAAAACACATTCCTAGATTTTATACTTTCTAGAAATCAAGATTTCAAAAATAATTCCTCTGCTTTAGAGATGAAAGGAACAGTGTAAAGCCAGAAGCCTCACCCAGCCAGTATCCAAACCAATTCAAGATGCATTTTGCACAAACTGGACTTCAACCAGGGCTTGTTTCACTCCATACAAGCCCTGTTCATATGGAAGCTTCAGCCTTGTAACTGAGTACAGAGGGAGTATTCTATGACACAAAGCCTTACAGTAAAAAGTGTATACAATTCACACAAATATGATCATATACCAACCATATACCCCCCCATACTAAAATTATATTTCCCAGCCAGATCAGATTAAAGCACAAAAAAAATCCACTAAATACAGCATTTGTCTTTTAGTCTTTCTAACCATCCCCTGGTGAAGAAAATAAAATAAAAAAAGAAAATAAATCCCAATTTAAAAGTACATGGTGTTTTAGTAGTTTGTTAAAAAGAAAAACCACAATACATTTTGACTGCCCTGAGGGACTTCACTTTTCCTAAACATTTACTGAACAGAAACATTCGGGAGGGGGAGACAATTACTGGAAAGCAATTTGTATTACGAATGAATACAATATATGCAGAATAACTCGTTTTTTACTCTTTGCAAGGAACAGGAAAGCACAGTCAGAGCAGTTTTGCTACCTAGACATGGAATAAGAGGTTCTTATCCGAACTCACTGCGACTCATCATAAGGTGTTCTGCAGATACAGTACAACTCCTCACTGCTGCCCTCTTGTGCCCGTTTACACTCATTACAGATGTACACATCCATTTTCTTAGCCTCCTTTTCTGTGATTCCAACACATTCTCCATGATACCAGTTAGTACAAAGATCACAGCCAATATAGAACCTAAAAGTGTTCACAATGAAAATGACAATGTAATTGTCATTTCAAATGGCATGGCACTTTTCCCTGCATTTCTGTCTGATGCATTTGATGCTGGGCTACCTTCTGTCTCAGCTTCCCTGCTCCCTATTCCTTACAAACTAACAACTCATGCTGCAGCTAGACTGGCAGTAAGGTCACTTGGGTCAATTTTAATTTGACAATTCATCGAAATGCACGTGTATTAATATGTACATATTAATATGTAACCAGACTTTGACAAAGCTATGGGCTAAAAATCTACTGACTTCAAGGCGTGTGTGAAAAACTGTCAAAGGCACAAAAAGACAAGGCCAAAGGAAAAGGTTTACATTTTCAACATTGCAGCTCAAAAGCCACTGAAACATTTCCTTAAGGTTTGAAAATGTAGGTCTCAGTTAATTTAAAAAACAAAAGCAAAGCGCAAACACCAACTAGGAGTTACGAGTACACTACAAGAACATGCAACCAGCAGTGTGTAGGTACACCTTGGTGTAACATGATACCAAAGAAAATGGGGTCAGGGCATGATTGTCAATTTTAAATCTTGGTGGTTTCTTTTTCTGGGGAGTGTGCACTGAAAAACTGATAATAAACTACTTCAAACTGTGACAAAGTGGGATTTGGAGTGAATAATGTCTCCTCTCAGACACAGCTGTGTGACAGAACCAGGTATGGTATGACACAAAGTGAAGGGAACCAGGGACAGAATCATGGGGATGGGACCTTGCACAGAATGATGTGACAAAAGTGTAAAATATTATGCCAGGATGTTTGTAACTGGTGTATGGATCTCTCAGAACACACCTGTGACCAGTGACAGCCACATGGGCGACGCTCACATCCATTCTCTCTGCCTGAGCAAAAGCAAGCGGACTCAGAACCTCCATCCTCCTGATTTTGGAGACCCCAACCCCTGGCAGGTCCTGACACCCTGACAGCTGCAGGCAACACCCTGGGGACACCACAGCACCCACAGGGCAGCAGCTACTGTTCCTCAGGAAGCATCTCTGATTTCCTGGGCCTCTGCACACATCCTGGACACTCTCTTTTCTCTTGTTTTTCAGTCAGGCAAATCCTAAAATAAATATCACACAACTCAATTTCCATAAAGAACAGCCAGACATAGATTCTGACAACTCTCAGCAACTCAGCCCCAAGGGGGGCTGTGGCTGCCCCTGGGGATGTGGGAGCACATCTGCATCCAGGTGGAGATGCCAAACCTCGCACTGCAATGTGCAGCAGGTGCCACATTATGATTTAAATAAGTTGGAATCTCAGTAGGAATCTTACAAAGATATCCCTACTGACCATCCTTGAAAACAGTACCAGCAAATCCCTGTAATCCTGGAGTATCATGAATGAGAACTGAAGATAAGAGATCTGCAATAAAATGCACAGCACAAAAGAAAACACACAGGGTATTCATAAAATACCACAACTTGGCTTTTCAAGTAGCACACCCATCTTTTCTGAAGTAGAAAAGAGACACCAGCACAAAGAGGACGATCCTACATATATACAAAAAAAATTTTTTAAAAATTCTCAGAAAACTGTTTTAAAACTTGACTAATTCCTTTCCAAAGAGCAAAAGGATTCTGTACTTCAACAGTACAGACATCATTTGTAGGAACATCAAATTTAAAATTCACAAAAAGCAAAGCAGCAGAGCTCAATCATATTGCTAAGGATACTAATGAGTTATTAACATTTCTTTTTCTTGAAGTTTTATTCAGTGCACTGAAGCACAGTTCTCAATTCAAGCCACCAAAATTCACTCTGTGACCACTGAAGTCAACACAAAGTCTGACAAACAGATCCCTTTGCTCACTCACTAAGTCCATTTGCAGTAACACACAAACCTCTGGAATCACAATCAGGGAACAGGGTCCCTCCTAAGCACACTGGGTGACACACAGTTAAGTGAGGCTGGGGACACCTCTCAGAGGTGACAGTGCCAGAACAGCCACAGCATCATCCTGCTCCTCCTGCAGCACTGGCAGTCCAAGGAGCAGCCCCATTTCCCACACTGAAGTCACAGTGCAATGGTCACAGCTACTCAAAACCGAGGTGAAAAAACCCTCAAATATCTCAACTTTGTTAAAAGACATAATTAAAACCCAAACAAGGCTAGAAGGAACCTCAGGAGGTCCCCTAGTCCTGGCCCTAAACTTGGAACAAAGAACCATGACCATGGAGTGAATGCACCACTCCAGATCTATGGTTTCCCTTGAAGTACAATCAAACAGTGCCAGCTCTTACTTTTGGCTATTGACACTTGGAATTGGCCCAAAGTCAAATTTACCATACACACATCTCTGCACAGCTCTCAGCTGTGAGAAGACCATAACTAACTGTTAGTCACCTCTAGCTAAAGCAGCAACATGGAACTCTATCCCCTGGAATCCTCTGGATTCTCCACTCCAGCATTTACACCATTTCTCCACAAGCACTGCACACAGTGTAAATACCTGTCCTCATTCCCAGTCAGAATCAAACTACAGAAAGCTGCAGTTTTCACTTTGTCAAATGCTTGAATATTCACTTTTATCAACCCCAGCATACAAATAATAACACATGGAAACCATTTTCCCTGAAACATTGTCCAAAGTGAACTGCAGTCCAGTGACTCAGAGCCCCCTTTACTGGTACAGCCTTACAAAAAAAGTCATTTATTGGAAGACGGTACCGAAGCTATTTCTGAAGAACATCAACTGCTTCTTCAGAAGGAATTGCTCAAACCAAATTGTCACTTGCTTCTGAGGCAGAGGCAAAACAGCAAAAGAAAGAGTAACAGAGCGGAGGGAAAAAAGAAAGGAGTATGTGCATGTGAGACAGGAAGGTCACACGATGGAGACATGCAAACAGTAAAATATAAACCACGCACAGGAACAGCATCAATCGAGGATGTTAATATTTGTAACTGCTAGTGGAAATAGAGACTTTATTCTCTACACCTCAGTGATCCCTGCAGTAACCTGCCACTAGCTCCACTTCTAGCACTGCCTGGCACTGAGAGCTGACTCTAACCCTGAAGCTGAGGACACGCAGGAGGGGCTGGGGCATCGCTACTCACTTGGACTCGTCGTAAGGCGTTTTACAGATGCAGTAAAGCTTTGTGTCCTTCTTCGTTTCCTTTGAGGTAGTAGAAATCATTTTCTTTTTCTTGGACTTGGAAGCCGAGGAATCTTTCTCCTCCTCTCGTTTCCTCTTCTGGGAGGAGACTGGCACGGGGACAGTGGTGGAGGAGGAGGAGGTGACACTGGCAGCTGGCAGCTGTGGCGGGGCTGGTGGCACTGGTGGCGGTGCTGGTGGCGCAGCGGCGGCCGCGGCGGCTGCGGCTGCTGCAGCTGCTGCTGCTGCCTGGGCTCGCTCCTTTTCCTTCTTAATTTTAGTCAAGTCTCTCTTTAGCTCCTCCTGAAGTGTATTAAATGAATAAATAGAGGGAGGCACTTCATATGGTTATGGCAAGGCAGGGTTAAAATTTAGGTAAAAATCCCCAAGGTTAACCAAAAGAAAACAATTAAATCCGTTTAAATATGCATTTTTTCATGTTCTCAATCACAATTCACATAACATTAAGGGATGACATTCCTGGCCCACTGGTTTTAACTTATCAGAAGGTGTTTCATGAAAGAAGGTAATTTCAGTCCAGAAGAAAACCAAGAGGCCCTCAAAGGACGTATGAGCAGCTTTGCAGAGATCCACAACCACAGCTTCTTCCTGTAAATTTCCTTAAAATCTCACTAAGTAAACAAAGATTAACACAGAGATACTCTCCCCAGCTTAACATCAAATTAGCCTTTGAGACTCTGTCCTTACCTGCACTTCAATCTGCAGATCTTTGTCCAGAAGTGCTCTTTTTTTCAGAATTTCAGCTTTCAGCTGCTCTTTGTGCTTGAAGAGCAGAGCTGAGAGCTTGGTCGCGTTCTGTTTGCTCCGCTTCTGCTCCACGCTCTCCTCTCGCTTCCGTTTCTTAGCTGCCTGCTTTTCCTCTTTGTCTATCTTATCCAGAATATATTTCATCACTTGGTTGCACACAATCATTCTGGGGAAGGAATAAAGGAAAAGGACATTGTGCTGACCTGCCTGTTTATTCCCAGTTGAGAATGCAGAATCAATTCTCCAGTCAGTGCAAGCTCATTATTGTATTTCCTAAGATGCACAAGGTAAATTTAGCAACACCCAGTGCTTCCACTCCTGCTTATTTACTAGAGCACTGCAGGGAGAGATCAAGTCCCTTGTTAGGCTCCAGAGGGCCAATCCCAATTTCACTTAAATGATCTGAGTACTAATTGTTCCTCCCCTCCCCCATCTGATTCCCAACAAAGCTTTGGCTTTGGTAGGATGAGAGAGATTTTTGCTCAATTCAGTTTCCTCAATTGGTCTGAAAGAACTGGATTTTTAGTGTGATGCATGCAAGTGAATTGGAAGCCTGCAACTTCTTCAAAAACAGATATTTCTATGCTCCAGTGAAACACTACCAAGGTTTTGTGTGTTTGGCATAAGGACTGACAACCACTTTTCACTGTATAGAATTCACTATAAACACTTCTCAATTTCTCCACTAATGACAGCGCAAGATGAGTTTTTTGTCTCCTTGTTGTACCTTCAACTATAAATCTATTTTCCTGCTCACTTGTTTTGCACCTTTCACTTATTTTGCTTTATATTTCAATTAGAAAATGAATGTATTTGGGTTCTTCTGAATTTACTTTTCCCCATTCTTTTCCAAAACCATTAGAAAACCAAATGCTTCTTGTTGCCAGAGTGACCATGAAAAACAACTCCCACTGAGCTGAGAGGAAACAGCAGAATAGCAATGGCCAGGACAAGCAGCTGCTGGCAACTCTGTGGTCTCAGATATTTTATCCTTTGATAGACAGCTGGATTTGGATGACAAATGGAATATGTACATAAATATTTGTAGGGTCATCCAATTTTGTTTAGTTTGCTCTTTATACCTGCCCTGTATCTACTTGGTTTTGTCTGTTTTTTTCACAGATGAAAGATCCCCATATTGTATTTTTGAAGAAGAATAAATCAGTGAGATGGAAAAGCAGCTGCATCACCAAGCTAGTTAGAACTATTTTTTTTTTCATCTTTCCTTTAAATTGGGCTTTTGTCACTCGAAACACCTATTTGGTTATCTGACATAATGAAATGAAGAGCATGTCCAATACATCTTTTTCTTTATGCAACTGTGAACAGTAAAGGAGTGGCACCCAGGGGTGGTGTTGAAATCAACTGAGCTTGTGATTTGATGATCAAAATTTTATGGAACATACTCATCTTTTTCTCAGTATCTGACACACACTTGTGATTATCTAATTGGAGCAACTGCATGTGTGAAAAGGAGTCAAAATAATCCCAAGACAAATGACAAACACTCCAAATTTCTGTTTAACAGCTTCAAGCATAAAATCTCTCAGTTTGTCAATCTGTCTTCCAACTCTCCAGCTCCTTCTGTAGAGTGGGATGTGCAGGGACAAGAATGGAAACACACGGCCATGATAAAGGACAAACAAAATCCAAAAAATGCTTTTTTTTGCAGCAGAAGCATTAATTCTCCATTCTGTGCTTCTTGACTTTAAAAACTGGCCAGCTTCAAACACAATACGTAACATTACTTAAAAATATATTATCAAAAAATTGAGATATAGAAGATGAAATAGAGATCATTATGAAAGTTACTTTTAAGTGTTACTCTAACCAATTTTATATTGTAACACTTCTTTAAGCAGGTTTTTACAAACCAGCATTTCATGATGAAACCATTAAAAGATGCAATAAATGAAAAATTTGGTATCTAAAAATGCACTGTGATGCACATTCACCTCTGATTTTCTTCCCTCTCAGCTGGAGTCAGTGTCTTCTTCTGTTTCAAATGTTCTATGACAGCATTCTGCTTCATAACCACCTGTAGGATGATACAGAATCCAAAATAAAAGGTGAAAACTTAACCAGTATTTCACAGTATTATGGGGAGAACCAGGACATTTCCTAAGTTAAAGTGTCATTTATTATAAAGTTGATTTTATCAGGGGAGCAGGGCTTGTTTAAAACAATTATTTGAAAATTCAAAAAGAAATTGAGGAAGAACACCACCACCCCCAGAATGGGATATTTTGCTTATGTCAAGTTTGAACCCAGGAACTAAATGTAAATTGACTGTATTTCCTCAGTGACTGGTTGTTTTATTTTAAAAGTGGTGATCATCCATTATATATTTTTAAGCCCTGCAGCCATCCAACAGTGCCACATTTCAGATACCTCTGTGGGACCTCAGTTCTCAGGTAAGGAAAGTTCTGCACGTGTGTTCTGTCCAGCAGCTCTCCCAGCTCTGACCTATCTTTCCTGAACTGAGAATAGAGATGGATTTGTCCCAGCAGCTAATGGTAAAGTGAATCAAGGTGACAGCAGAATGCAAACATGGTACAAGTGACTTGCTGTGCTGAATTAACTTGGAACATGTCCTTAAATTGCCAATAGCAATCGTGCACTATCTTTGAAAGAATCAAATTAACTGCCTATCAAATGTATTAACATTGTTAACAAGAACAGGCATTTGAAATTAGATTTCTTTCATTCATTAAGTGCTAATTTCCTTCTGTTAACTTTACCTGTTTCTGGATAATGTCACTTTGATTAGAAGCCTGAAGGGTGTGCTCACGTTTAATTTCTATCTATTGCTGCTCCCTGAGCTGCTGAACTGGGTGCAGCTGCTCCTGCACAGAAGCTGCTGCCACTGCCACCACCCTGGCCAGCTGCTGAGCCCGAGCTGGGCTCCTGGGCTGGCCCTCAGGGGGTAACTGAGGCTGGATGTGGGGCACACTGCCCTGCTGGGCTGGGATCTGAGCCCCAGCACGGGGCTGCAGCTGACAGAGGATTTCCACTTGCTGCTGGAGCTGGGGCACTGCAATAACACCTGTTGGAGGCTGCTGAAGTGGCAGCTGAGGATGAGCTGGGCACTGCACAGGAACCTGATTTAAACTCTTGAGTACTTGCAAGGGCTGTGCCCGAGGTCTGAACCTGAGGCTGGGATTGCTGCAGCAGAGCTGGAATTAGTTTGGGAGTTTTGTGGGGCCCCATCAGAGCGGGCGGTGGGGTTGCAGTCTGCACCTG